TTACGGCGATTAAGATTCGCGTGAACAATCGGCCACACGGACGAAGAGAGTCATCGTTTTGTTAACTCGTTCGTCAGGATGCGTGAGATGCGTCCAGAAATAATCCGATATATAACGAGGTACAGACAATGTAATAAATTTTCGATAAATAAAACGGTGATTAAAAATTGGTCTTCTAATTTTGCACATCTATAATAACATTATTAAATTGATGATGATACTTTTTGAATTTCTTATCTTTGATCTCTTTGACGATATACCCGTATCGTAAATAATTTCAAATGCGGCTCCAACTAATTTTTTAAATCAAAATTGAGAAGCTTGAAGATGTTCAGATCTTGAAAAATTCTTTCACGTTTTAGATATAGTTACAAAATTTCACGGCACATGCAATTCACTCCCACGTGGTAAATTGGTACAATAGGTATAAAGGTCAAGCTTTCAAACATGCTCATTGTGTTAACGGTTACAGTCGGATTATCCTCGAGACGAGTTCCTAATTGCTTTAGCATATCCGCCAACGCCGGGATTAACCTGTTGGAATAGACTGGTCCCCGTGGATAGATCAAGGTATATCAAAGCCGCGAGAGATTGGTCGCCGATAGTAAACGGGTTGACACGTTCGAGACAGTTATATCCCGGTATCCCACGCAGCGCCCGGCTGCATTTAGCCCGCGGCGTACAATGCAACACCCGCGTAGGAACAATGGGAAGCTCGTGCGCGATGATTGATCGTCCAGCTGGATGCAATCGTACCGGCTGAATGTACCCTCGAGATCTCCTCTACTGCTGTCTTATCTCGGCGATTCTTCGTCTTACGCGGCCGACACGATGGACGATGGTCGTGCATGTTGCCGCTGTCTTGATGAGTTTCGCTAAACTCGCTGGTTAGGCTAACTGCGTGCAACGGTGGTTTTGCATACGCACGGCAGCCTATAAATTTCGCTCGCTCGTAGAGGCAGTTACGGTTCCTCGCTCTTCCTTTTACCGAGTCTCCATCATTATTTCCTAGCTTGTAAGACTTTGATTGAAAACTCATTTTTCTGTAATTTTTAATCCTTCGATTTCCAATAGCGCTTACTTCTTTTTTCCATTTATTTTTTGATTGAGTCAGAATTCCCAACTGGATCGCAAATCCTATTTACCTTCTCGTTTTAATCAAGCTTATTCTTCCCATCCGGTATAATTTGATACGTCGATACGACGACTAAAGAGTCAGTTTCGTCCGGTCGCGGCTGTCTCGTGCGTATCGAGATCGCGTGGGTCGAACTGCATCGAGGGACTTATGCAAATTCAATTTAACTCGCCTGTACAGTGAAAGAGAGCTAGTCAGGCTCGGAGCTCGAAGATTCTACACATATACTTTAGCGTATTATTATTTAAAGAAAAAAAATTACATGTTATGTGTATATGTGTAGAGAGATTGTAATTTTTCATAGAATAGCTTTTACTTTATCATTAAATGTAGTATGTTAAATATATTAATTTCCCCGAATTATACAGATACCCCCCTTGAGCATAATTAAATTCTCAACTATATTCTCAAAATGTAGTGAAACATCAGATTTGATGTATAAATACCGAAGTCCGTAGTTCTCTTCTTAATCTTTTCGAATCATCAAGTTTAATCAATTTTATTTTGATATCTATATTTAAGTGTGCAGAATAAATTTTATATATTTTTATATAACTAATTTTTTATATAACTTTTTTATATTAAGCGCATTTTACAGTCTTGATTAGGTTGTATATGTTATATTCACAATGACAGCGTGTGAGAGTGCCTTGAAACTTGAAGAGACGAATAAAGATGCGAATTGATAGCTAAATAAAATGAGAAAGCATGAGAGAAAGAAAGAGAAATGCACGTTGAAATCGGTTCGTCTTAAGTCGCGGCAGCTGGTCGGTTCCTTCATTTTATCTCGCATGACGAGCATCAAGGACCGCCAGCCTCTCTCGTGTAACCGCTTCATTATATGCGCCATTTTAAAAATGCGTTCCGCTGGCTAACTGTACGCGTGAAATATCCGCGCAAAGGTTACTCTCTATCGTCGACAAGATTTTGCGAGTTTCTCTTTAGCTTCGATCGAGGGTCTACGTTTGAGCGATATTTCCTATTTAACTCGTTATGCACGCATATGATGATGTTATTTTCACGAGTTATATTATGTTTTACTGAAGAGAAAAAAGAGAATGTCGCTTGATGAAAAAGCTTCCGACAACGTAACGTTTTTAACGCCTTAAATTTTTAATTGTCTTTAGGAGGAAATTGGCGAGATAATCGAATCAGCTCCAACGACTTCGCTTCACATCACGGATGAACCAAAGTATTCGGCTCAGCCCGAAAGATTATCCAATTACGCGAATGAATCGTTCACTCCGAGATCCTTGCCGGCCACGAGGTCGCACGTCTTTGTACGGAGACAAAATTCGTTGACGAGGAGCGGCGAAGATATCGGCGATTGGTCGAATAGTATCCTCGCGGAATTCAATAACATAATTGCCAAGGAGATCAGCGAACTGACCAAAGAGAAAAAGAAGAAGGAAGCCGCGCGTAGCGACGACGACGTCAGGGTGATACAGTACAAGGAATTGCTGAACGAATTCGGATTATCCGATAGCGAGAGTTCCGATCGAACGTCCAGCGGCGGACATGAACCTCCTCAGGATGAGGAGAATCTTCGAGATCGCAGAAACGGAAGATTGTTCGTTGACGACGATTGTCGCTGCCTACTAAATTCCGATTACGATGAGCCGCACGATCGAGTCATCCCGGAGGACAGGAAGAGCGACAGTCTGCCAGAGAATCTGCAAGACATCATTGGCAAGCGTGGTCGATTTCATACCACGGACGCACTAAGTTCTGACTACGACGAGCCCAGCAATTGTCTGCCGATGAATTCGATCAGGAGCCAGATCGATCGAATCACCTCTAGTCTACCGTCGAAGCTGGAGCGCGGGTGTGCCCCGAAGGACGCGCGATTGGATCCTTGCCATGCACCAAAGACACCTGTAGGATTAAGCTCGAGGACCAATGAGAATATCAGCGTGGACATCGGAAGCTCGTTCAAAAGCGCCGAGGAAGCGCCCGAAGAGGCCGCCGCGAAGTTGCCGCCACGACAACGATCCGAGAGAAAGATAAGTCTGCCTGTCAATTTGACAAGTCAGAAGCGTAGAAAGGCAGCGCGATTGCAGAGATTCCGACGTGGCACGGACGATCAAGAGACAATGGATCCCGATTACGACGACGTATTCATGAACGAGGAGATCAGCGGCAGGTCTAAATCCTTGGACAATCGCGTGCCAAAGTCGGCGCCCGTGACGCCGACGGAGGAAAAGAAACCACCATTCTCCAAGTTATTAAGAAAACGACACATCTCGATGTTTCACGAGAATTCGGACGATGTTATCCTGGTGAGCGTGTCCTCGCTGCCGGATCAAGATCTGTTGCGTTTAAGAAACGACAGGCGTCATGAGACGAAAAACGGCAAGATGAATTCGAAGGAAATGTTAACCAAAAAGAGGGCGATATCGCCGCTAACTCTACGCTCGGATATTACTGCGAAAAGACTGTCGGAATCGGACAGAGATGTCAGGCAAGTTAGCCCGGTAGACTTGAAGAAGTTATCTCTGGTGCGACCATGGGGCAACGACGTCGCGGTGAGTTGCGACTTGCCCGAAAATGACGACATCGAGGAGAATTGCGGGATCGAGAATGGAACCTTCGCCAAATTGGAGCACATTGACGTAAAGAAGATTATAGAAGAGCAGAACGCGAGAGCGGGATCCGTAAGTTTCAATATTGATTTCTATCATTAATTATTTTGTTGTTATTAATGTTGGAATTGATTATGTATTGTTTGTTATTATAACGTATACATATACATATAATGCATATCGACGAGATATCGAATATTTCAATATAATGAGAATTATAATCAACGGATATATTTGCATATATATAGATATGTATAATAGACTTTTAAATTATATATATATATATATATATATATATATATAATATATTTTTATATAATTAAGAATAATTATATGCTAAAGATATATTTCACAATAGGTATTATTTGTTGTATGTACACTTTTAAATCAGTATTAAATTGCCTTTGCATTTATAACACATGTACTTCAGACGACAGAAAGCACGAAATTTGATTACTTTATTTTATTCCACTCGCAGCTACCTATTTCTCTGCAATCCCTGTTGTCGAGGATACGAAATGGTTCGGGTTCTTGTTGCCCGAATAGTCCACCGATGGTGGACTCTCTTACTTGCTCCGACATGGCGACTCAAACCTCGCCAGCGATTTCGAGAAGTTCCAGCTTCACCTGGGTTAGCGATTGCGACTCTCCCCAAGGTAATTTCCGTATCATCCCGGTTCTTTACACGACCCGCTTGATATATATTCATAGGCTTAGTTAACGTCCGTGAAATTTACTTCCGTTCTGGTTCTCCGTAATCCAGTATACTATTCCAAGAGTTTCGATAATTGATGATTCACCTCTGATTAATTTTCTGCTTAGTCTTTGCATCCATTAAAGTTATATCTGTTCCGGATAATTTTTTTGTACGTTTAAATGGCACGGAATGGGACGTTTTAATTTTATATTTTATTCTTTCGGTAACTTTTCTGTTCGAAAAATTATTTCCTTTAGTAGAAAATTGATAGATACACATTAAAAGATGCATACATGTTATTTTGCTAATAATATTAATTAATTTAAAATTTTAAGATTTCTATTTCAATATATTTTGTAATGTAAGATATTGTGCTATTAAAGTTTAATGCATATAATTCAATGGATATAATATAATAAAAATAAGAATAATATTGCAAATCTAATTTATATAATTTATTAAATCGCGTTTCTCTTCATTGTAGCCGAGTCCCAATTAGATTCGCAGTCGTTGCAAGATGAAAGCACATTAGACCCAGTTTCTCCCCAAGACACTGTGGACGACGACAATAGATCCTCGTCGTCGTCCCAGGACCTCTTGCAGAGCATGGACGAGATTTCCTCCGGAAGTCTGTCGCCGGATACCACTGACAGAGCATCTCCGCTCGAAAGCGGAATTGGAACAGCGAGTCCGCCCAGAAGCACAGATCGGCGCTTGACTAAACGTAAGATAAAAATACTTTGCTTTTGTCCTAAAAATTCAATTTAAAGAGAGATTGCCATATTTATATTTAGTATTAGTATAGTATTTTATTTTGTCAAATATACAAATTATTCGTGATTTATAACATAATATTCATGATCCTCTTAACGTGGCTTGTAACAAAAAATTCTTTTTTCGCTCATGTAATATACTTTGACGCGATTGCATTGTTGAATTTTATAAAAATTGACATTCGCTAAAGTCTCGGTACATCCGTGCTTGTCTCTCGTATAGCGTCAACACCGAACAAATGCCATCGCAAAGAGACGTGGGAGCGAATCCGACGACGACCGTCGAAATTGAGCTCGCGAAATGACAAGAACTCGCAAGACGTATGGGTGAAACGCGAAAGCGTGCACACGCAAACGAAACAGAACGATGATCAGTACTCGCAAGATGCGGTGGACAGCAGTAGCGGCCTCGATGATTCCTTGCCGAGGATCAAGACACCCAGACCCACGAATTTACCGCTATGTGAGTCACGTTACAGCTGTTATTTTATACTTTTTCTTTTCGCTTATTACGCGCGGTATATGAATCGTTCATCTTGAAAATTTTACACGAAGATTTTGCGATATACGTATTGCGTTAATTTGCTTTTATATATTATAAATTCTAATCTAGCTGTTGGATTTCTTTTTGCAACAGGCTTGTCCATTACCGCGAGCAGTTCCTTGAGCTCGGGCGAACTGCTCGAAACACCACCCCGAGCGCCGTCTTCGCCATCCGCGGCGAGTCTTCAACTGAAACCAGAACCTCTAGCCGTGGAGATGGGCGGAAAGAGCAGCAGCGCGCCGTTGCTGGAAAACAACGACGCCGGGAAAGCTAACGGGAAGGTGCCGGTGAGTTTCTTCTCTCTTTTTTTTTTCTAAGTTTTGAATAAATTCGAATAGTTGTAATATAACGGAAAAGGTTAATCGACTAAAAAAAAAAATTTTAACGAATATAAAATATTTTTTATTTTTAATTGAACTAAGTGATTCGAATAATTAAAATTTATACAAATCTGCTGCTACTAGCTCTTTTCACGTAAAATGTTTACATATGAAAAGAAATCACGCATAATACGAAGTGCCGACAAAATAGATTAGAGCGTTTGACGTAATAATATACCATCCCGTTTCTATCCCGACTTATCTTCCTTTAATATGCGAGCGCGCGAACTTACGTAAGCGAACATCGGTTGACGTCAAGTCGCCGGTACGAAACGTCCCTTAAATAATATCGATAGCTAACTTGAGCATGACTCGTAGAGAGCGAGAGGCTGGACGCTTACATCGGGTATCGTCCTAGACGCGACGGCGGACATTAATCGCGCGGCATCGGAGCATGTACGACGTTATCGGGATATCGAGATTATCCGATGCGCAGGGTGTATCTCAGATATATATACATATGCCTCTCCCTTCGGCCTCGGCCACGTTCGGCGATCCGCTGTTTACGGACGGTTATTAGTCTCTGCCCACGTGGTGCGCGTACGTCGTTTGACATTGATTATCGCGTCCCGTATGCTCTGCTTCGCATAATCCGTCGTGGATTAGGAGAAGTGTCGTAAGATCGACATTTTGTTACCGCGTTATGAGTCTCGGATTCCCTCTTTCTCGACAAGTATACTCACCTGTTTCACGAGAGACGGGAATTTCTTGCAAACCAGCTCATCGCGTGCGAACCGGTTGAGCCAATCTGCTCGTTCAGCTAGGCGTGTGCACTATTGATCTCCTATGATTAATCGCCTAAAGGAACAATTAATCCTTACGATTTGTGTGGGTAATTACGATACGAAAGATCGTTGACAAATTTTTGCGTACAAGAGCGAGGTTATTGGAGAATATTATTAATAAGAAAAATTAGTTATTTGCTATTTAAGAACTACTTGCTAATCTTTTATACTCATCTGTCAAATTTAAATTCTTTGATTCAATTAATTGAATTAAAATTTATGTTTGTGAATATGCCGTAGAACTTGCTTATAAAGCTGTACAAATGTCATAATAATACGATACCATAATACAATAATTTAACGATATATATTATTGCGTATAATGTCAGTAAACGAAAAAATTATAGTCTAAAGTATTAAATATAAAATTTACGTATAAATTTCTGATTAGTAGTTTAGCTTAAATCTTTTTGTAACATTTACATAAAAGGATGCAACTTCGAAGTTGAAGTTTATGTGTGCTTCATTGTTCGATACATCTTTTATGAACTTCCTGTGAAAATAATTAACTTTGTCCATGGTAACGTCAGCAGAATTAGTTTCAGCGCTGTTTACTCTATTAACATGTACTGGAGCAATTAATCATTATTTACGATTAAACTTAAGTGCCTGAGTAAATGGATGACTAGTTAGATAGGTCGCGCTTATTGTTTTCTCGGCTCATGCTTCCCATCATTCTTCTTGTCTCGAGAATCCGTCGTTCTCTTCATGCACGACGAATATTGTGCAAGGTCAGTCTTTGACGGTAAAAGCGGCGCTCCGCCTGAATGCACTTGGTGAGCCGGGAGAGAGAAGAGAGAAAAAGAGAGAGTGAGAGAGAGTCGAGTCAATATTCTATTTACCTCAAATATTTTGGATGGCAACCGGTAACGGGACGTAGTTTGCAGCCGGCTGCTTTTCGCATTCTGTATGTGAATCCGATCGTGGCTCGACCTTTGACGTGCACATGCACGCGCGCAACTGCGCATTTATATCTTGGTGGTTTTCGTTGGACAGTGGCCGCGTATGCAAATTATCAATGAAGTGTCAGTACACGAGGGGATTCGCGCTCGAGTGAGCACGTTGCCTCTCGGTAAACACCCATTGCACGAGGACGCGCGCGCGCGGAAGTCGCGCGTGAACACCCGGTACTGGATTGCCCGTGTTGGTGAGCGATCAAAGCTAATGGGGCAGCCAGCCGTGGCGGCGTATTAATCGGTTGGCATCCTCGGATCTTGAATATAGCCACGCCGTGTGGTCTATCACGTACGCGTGCACTAAGGCCGTGGTGGAAAACTTGAGCTTTAAATGCATATCTGTCTCTCTCTCTCTGTTGGAGATTGTAAATGACGCACAATTGTTCTTTTCCGAATCGGCATCCGTAACGGATTGAATGCGGAGCCAGGCATATTACGCAGCTTCTACACTTAAACGAAAATTTTAATCGACCGTTTAATTTCACAAACGTTAAAAATTTATATCTAACAAACGGCGCTTTGAATACATTATTTATTATTATTTAATCTTTGAAATGTGCATATTTTGACGCTGCAATTTAATTAAACTAAAAAGTACAATAGAAGCCGATGTACAATATATTTTGCTTTAAATCTCTTGAAATAAAATTTTATATACATATTATATATATATTAATATCTGTAGATTTTTTTTCTCATTTATAGATACTATAGAACAATTGAATCTTTTTTTAATATTCTTGTAAAATATTACGTGTATTTTATTGCGATTATATGAACGGAAGCATTACAAAATAAAATACAGATCAGAGATATTTATTTTTGAAACTGCCAAGACTGTAATGACGCACCTGTGTAAAATATGCTTCTCGGAATATAACTGTTCAAAAGAGATACATTTGTTTGAGACTACGGGGAAATTTTCAGTATTTTCAGTAAAAGTGTAGCGTATCTCTCTGCGTCACATTGTTTCATCTCATATCTCGTTTGTAGGCGAAATGATTAGCTCGAGGATCCCGAGAAACGATATAACTTTTGTTTGAGAATTTCTCGCGGGGTTCGCTTTGAAGCCTAGTAAGTCGTAAAAAATATAGCCTATTCGATCTTGTTTGAAAAGATATTTTACAGCTAGTTTACGATTTTTAAATATGGCATCGATACCTGGAGATATCCATTACTTTATAACCGCGTATAATGACGAAACATTTCTTTTTCAAAATCACACATTTCGCTTCGTGATATCGCCTTTATTTTAGTTATACCTTGTTTGTATTATTTTTATGACGAATCATATTTTAACGACAGCTTCAATAATCGAATTTCTAAAAATAACAATGAGATGATTATACAAAGAACGTAAAAACGTTCTCTCGGAAGTCGTATAACAATATTGTACTTAATATTACCACTTCATCAACTTCTTAATTTTTACTTCATTCTTTTCATATTTGAATTTTACGCTTAGTGATTCTGTGTTCGAAGGGCGATATATAATTGAGTGAACGATGCCCTTTTCGGAGCGAGAACGGCGCATCGCGTGTGTGAATTTTTAAGGGTAATCACGAGTTTTTCATTTTTTTCGTGAATATTGAAGGGATATCGATCGATATATGGTATATATACATCCACTCGGTGGGGCACGATGTAGATAAGGTCACGGTTGTTTTCGAGGCCGACTCAATACCGTAAGTGGGTCACGGTTCAATCGCGTCGATTATTATTTATCTTTCGTTGCTAGAAAATAAAATAAAATTAGAATCATCGATAAAAAGGATAACGATCGTGTCTTTTGTGTCTGCGCGTATTATCAGGCAATAAAACGTGTCCGCGACCCGACCAAGTTAAAGAACCGGTTCTCTTTTCCGATATAATAGTATAAAATTACGTTATCAGCTCTTAAACGATTAAATTAAATGCACACTAATATAATATCTATGTGTGCATAATCGTAATTAGGAATTCACTTGGAATCTCGAGACGTTTCAAATAGCGTATGTGCTGCGGTTCTTCGAAACGCCTATCTTACACCGAGATATAAAACAGGCTTTACTAGTTCATTAACTAGTCGTTAAACGGGAGAACCAATTTATTTCGAGCGATCCTTTTACCGCGGCAATAGTTTGAGAAATACTGTCGTCGCGCGGTACATTTGACTGCAGTAAACGCATCGTTCTCGCTAAAGGTGCTCCTTTGACCCTTTCTTTGCACGGTCCTGCAAGCACCGAGAGTGTTTTTCCGCAGTTTCTCAAGCCAATGATACGTTCTGTGCTGTTTTCAGAGCTTGCAGCAGCAGCCGCGCTCGCAGTCGGAACGGCAACTATCAGGTAAGCGAACGAAACGACCATTCCACTCGATCATATACGAACCGGTATGCTCGAAGTCGATACTGTAACAATACAGTACGTTCCCCGTAACTATTACCCAGGGAAACTTTTAATGGTCGAAAAAACGAATCAATTTTAAAGCGATATTGATAGCTTGATTATCGCGTGGGTGGATTTGGCAAGAGAGTCCTGAAATCAAGCGAGAGTAGGTATTTCGATTTCTTGTGCGTTAATTGAAATATGAAAATAATTTGAGCTATGCACGCATTTCATGCGCAATATATGACGACATTCGTATTTGGTGCTTGAAGAGAGATGGATACGTACGAAATGGAAACATAATTATATATATTTAAAAAACACTGAGAAATTATGAAATTAAAAGTTGCAGAAATTATATAGAAATATTTAATTATATACAAGATCTATCAGTTTTAAGTTGCAAATTAAATAGGAATAAAAATGCTTTTTGTTACTTAATTTGTGAAAAATTCATTTTTAAACGAAAAATGGCTTCTTTGGAATACATTATAGTGTTGGCGAGTTTGGCATCTCTTGGCTCGCATCTGATTACATTTGAACGATGATTCGATCAGTTTACGACGCCAATCTGCCATTAATTTACGCCACCCGCATGGGATGCAAACGAGCCCGACACGAGCGAAAATGAATATTGACATCTTTGATCGCGTGAACGAAACGCACGAGGCGCGCCTGCGATCGATCGATAGGCTGATCTCCATCGAATAATATCGGCGGGCTGTGCGTCCGATAACGAGTTTAGGGTGTAATCAATTTTCCCTCGCAACGCAATCGAATGCAATTTGCGACGTTGGAAACGACGGAATTTTCGCCCTCGGACCGCCAATGATACACTAATGCGGTGTCTGGGTGTTCATTACATGAGGGGATTCTCCGGCTAGACTTAACGCGCGTGTAATATTCTCAGTTACGCAGCACGAAATTAATTGAAGACATCCGTGTAATATTCTCGCAATGTTCAAGGTGCGCCGAGATTTATCAAGTTTCGCTACTCTGTAGAGATTATCTCAAAGTTACTCGTTCTTTGCATGGATATGCGTAGACATACATAGATACGATTCGATGGTAATATCTTGCGCAATCTATTTGGTTAAATGATTTCTCTATTTTTTATTAGTAAGTAAAATATAATTTTTAAAATATAACATAATTTTTCAAATATAATTTAATATTAATCAAATTTTTGTTATACTTAGATTTATATTTTTGTCACATTTATTTTGAATAAATAATATATAATATACATATATATATAATGTGAGAAATAAATGTACAAAAATGAGAGATACACGTGCGAGATAGTATAAAAGAAAGAAGTTTAATTAACTTCTCTACGGTAATGTAAAAATAATGATAGATGTCGAGAGTGACTTCCAATATCATCTTCTCTATCACGCTATATATGAAAGTTCTATCGCTTCCTATCTAGAGCTCATGCGTTCGTATTGTGTCGAATCCGATCGCGAAAGTTTAATTAATTATCGACCGAACTAATTGCTTTCTCGCGCCGCGATCCCATGGCGCGACGTGATTATGACTTCCGGTGTAGGCACACCCGAGGTTAGTATGCATCTATGGATGCACCGGCGATGCACTTTCCTTCTCGCCCGCGGCGATTTAATCGGCACCGCGCTAATCGAATAAATCTTGCGATAGAAATATAGCGGATGAAAAGAAGCGACTCTCCGTGATGACTCGCGACAGAGTGGAAAATCAGCAATACCTCTGCCGCCTTGAACTAGAAAATTACTTCCCCTATATGGCGTCGCACAAGATATTTATTACCTGATATAAAAATAAAAAGTTTGCGCCATATTTTCCTCAACGCTCAATGAAGAACTATCGATCTTTTTAACCGGACCATGTAGTATAATATATTTTGTAATTTAATTGCAAACATCCGAATCTTTAAAATTATGTATTTCAAAAGAGGAAAGATATCTGAAGAAATATTGAATTTTTTTATTTTTGATCAATTCTTTTCGTTAAGAGGGATTTATAATTATTTTTATAAAATAGTTTATTTCTTTTTAATATCGTGATTGTTCAAAATGAATATGATTTATCTGCGTTGAAGAATAATATTCTTAAGGAATTTGGGTAAAATCAATCATCTAAGAACATCTCTCGCATACAAATCTGGATCGTATTAATACCACTTGGATTCGGCAACGTGGAAGTGTAAAAGAAAGAGAACAATACTCTAGCGAATGGTAATGATAAGTGATTTGTTCGTTGCCTCTTCATTTTGACGATTCGAATTAATATCCGCTCGCGTATATTTACTATCATTCTGGTCATTTTCTCATAGCCAAACAAACGTGGCAGAGAAAATCGCGCTTAATTTACGCGGCGAAAAATAATCGGCGCAAAATAATTTGAAGCGATAAATTATTTCTAAGAATTTCTAGCCGATGGCACTGCAGCGATGATTGTGATTAACGATCAAGCTTACCGTTGATGTAAAAGTCCTGTTTCTCGTATTTAGATGGTGAAAATCACATTTTCATAAAATATTTTATACTTTTCACGATAATTTTATTTTAAAATGATATATGGAAAGGAATATTATAATGTATAGAGCAATGGTTATGTATAGGGTATAATTTCTTAATTTTAAATATATTTTGAATTACATAAAAGG